TCCCCAAGGCCATGGCAAGCAGCCTGGAGAAGTTCCACAGAGAGGGTGAGAGGGTGGAAGGTGGGCGGGCACAGGGACAGACCAGAAATGGGGTGCAGGTTCCCATATGGAAGCAGCACCTGGCAGGGGCCAGGCGTGGGCGTGGGCGTGGGCACGGTCAGGTTGTGGAGGCGGCCACAAGACTGGGGCTGCAGTGGACACGGCGCTCTCTCCCCAGCTGCCAGCAGAATCTCTTCTCTGTTTCTGTTTCCCCATCCCCAGTTTCTAGCGCCCACCCCTGGGTCTCTCTTTGGAGCCATCTGTGGATGATTGATAAACCCTGGTGGCACAGTGGTTAAAGCACTCAGCTGCTAACTGAAAAGTCAGCAATTGTAACCCACCAGCTGCTCTGCAGGAGAAAGATGCGGCAGTCTGTTTCCGTAAAGATTGACAGCCTTGGAAACCCTCTGGGGCAGTTCTACTCTGTCCTACACGGTCACTATGCGTCGGAATCGACTCGCCAGCAGCGGATTTTTTGGTGAGTGGATGATTGAGCTGCTTTGTACAGCTGGGCAGAGCCAGACATTCCTGGGAGTGTGTGCTGTCCGACTGGACTGGCGACGAAGGTGAAGCACTGCTCTTTGTCTTGAGCTGGGACAAACTCCAGAGTTTAAGCTCCACCCTGGGGCTCCCAGCTGGCTCAGCCTGAGGCTGGAACTTTGCACCCTTACTTGGCTTCCTACCCTTCCCTCATTCTGCTGCCCCCATTCCCACCCACCCTTGCTGACTCCTTCTGGGGTGTTGCCAGGACAGAGGGCCCCGTGTCTACCTTGGACCCAGAGCTGTAGGCCATGCTGTTTTGCACTCCCTATTTTTGATTGTCTGTAGAGCTGGCGAGCAGCCAACATGAGTGGGACCGGGCACCCCTGTGGATCTGCAGCAGCTGCCTTGGTTCCGAGGGCCCGGCATCTGAGGCCGGTACACTCAGCCTGCGGCTTCCTGTGTCCTTCCCACGGGCAGGCTCTGCCTCTCACTTCTCGGAGTTGGGAGCCCACGGTGGGGCCCTTGCTCCCTTTCTCTGCTCGTCCCTTTTGCTGTTCAGGGGTTCGTCAGCCTTTTGTTTGCTGGGGAACTCAGGTGAGGCGGCCCTGTGGTCTCAGCTGGTTCTTTCCTGGTCTGGTGTTCGGTGTCCTGTCTCTGTGGTTCTCTCACCCACTTTAAGGTAAGGGGACAGTGCGATGGGCATTTGTAGGACTGTGACTCCATGGGCAAAGCCCTGCTGTCTCTCGGCTGCTGGCCTTCCTGTCCTCCTTCTGTGGCCAGCGGACTGCCCTGGCGGATCGCTGTGCAACTGGCTCCAGGGACAGCAGCAAACGCCCCTTGGAGCTGCCAGGGGCCAAAGCTCTGGGGATGTTAGGAAGTGGGCTCAGACAGTGAGGCCCCTGCTCACCACTGAGGGTCTGGGGTCAGGAAGGTGTCGAGACAAGGTGTCCCCTGTTGAGGCCTGGAGGAAGAAGGACGAGTGTCTCTGGGAGACCTGGGGTCAGGAGGCAGGAAGCCCTGACATGGGGCACCTGGGATGTGTGCCCAGCATGTGGGGCGCCCTGGGATGTGCGCCCAGCCTGTGGGGTGCCCTGGGATGTGTGCCCAGCCTGTGGGGTGCCCTGGGATGTGTGCCCAGCATGTGGGGAACCCTGGGATGTGTGCCCAGCCTGTGGGGCACCCTGGGATGTGTGCCCAGCATGTGGGGTGCCCTGGGATGTGTGCCCAGCATGTGGGACGCTCTGGGATGTGTGTCCAGCATATGGGGTGCCCTGGGATGTGTGCCCAGCATATGGGGTGCCCTGGGATGTGTGCCCAGCATGTGGGACACTCTGAGATGTGTGCTCTGCATGTGGGGCACCCTGGGATGTGTGCCCAGCATGTGGGGCACTCTGGGATGTGTGCCCAGTATGTTGGTGCCCTGGGATGTGTGCCCAGCATGTGGGGTGTCCTGGGATGTGTGCTCAGTGTGGAATCTCATGGCTGGGGAGCTGGGCTGAGGCAGAGCCTGGCGGGAGTGACCTGCTGTCCAGTTACACTGTCACATAAGGGCGTTAGCATTTATCCCAAGCCTAGGGATAAATCAGGGAGGCATCCTCTGGGTTGTGACCTGACCGATTGTTGTCCACAAGGATCTCTTTGGCCACAGCATGGACAAGCGACCCTCAGGGACCAAGGGTTAGAACAGGAGCCACTTAGGGGCTTTGTGACACGTCCCAGGAAGAGACTCTCGGGCTGGGCAGTGGCAGTGGTCAGGTGGCGTGGCTGGAGTCAGCGCATGTGGAGAGGACCTGGGATGCCGATGGGCTGGTGAGGGGCTGAAGAAAGGCAGGCACCCAGGATGGCACTAGGGTTCAGCCTGAGCAGGTGGGCACAGGCAGTTGCCACCGAGTTTGAGGGGAAACTTGCAGGAACATGGACTTGAGGTGGGGTCAAGGGTAGTTGAGGAGACCTGTATGGTAGCCCTGGGACACGCTGACTCTCGGCATTGGGGAGAGGCGAGGATGGAGAGCTCAGCTGGGGGCATCGGTGTTGAGGACCAGTGACTCAGTGAGTGCAGACAGGAAGGGGAGCTGTGAGCCACGAGGCAGCTCACTCTCAGTGTAGGCAGGTGTGAGGGTTAACTTCATGTGTCAGCTTGGATAGACTATGCTTCCCAGTGGCTTAGCCAAACATTAGTCTAGTTGCTGTCATGGAGTATTTACATGTGATCCAGTGAACTGGCCTTCGGTAGAGCAGATCGCCTTCCATGTTGTTGTTAGGTACTGTCTCTGTTTTTGAGCCCATTGTTGCAGCCACTGTGTCAATCCATTTTGTTGAGGGTCTTCCTCTCTTTTGCTGACCTTCTACTTTACCAAGCATTGATGTCCTTCTCCAGGGACTCGTCCCTCCTGATAACATGTCCAAAGTATGTGAGACAAAGCCTGGCCATCCTCCCTTCCATAATATAATCTAATCTGCAATTACCTTACATGTAATGTAATGTAATGCAATCATCGCACATGTAATGTAAGGTCAGGTAAGGTAATGTAATCACTGCACATGTAATTTAATGTCAGGTAAGGTAATGTAATCACTTTCCACAATGTAATGTAATCCATCAATCAGTTGAGGTCATACTAGTGTAGGGTGGATCCTAAACCTAATCACTTCTGCGTTATATACAGAGCAGATTAGACACAGAGACAGACACACAGGGGAAGGTAGACAGTCCCTAATTCAGACTTCTAGTCTCTAGAACTGTGAGAAAATAGATTTGTTCTTTAAAGCCATCCACTTTCGGTATTGGTGTCACAGCAGCACTAGGAAATGAGACAGCAGGTGACCTGGTGCCTGGGGAAAATGACAGGGCCAAGCACAAATGAGGCACTGTGTCTGAGACCATTTTTACAACACAGTTTTTTTTAACTGTTTGTGCTGACTCACACAAGACACCGACTATGGAGACATGGGCTGACAGTGATGGTGCTCAGATTTCTACGTGGAGTGCACAGACGCAGCTCTGAAAGCAGTACATAACCCGGTCCCTCTTAGCCACGACGTGTCTCACTGCGTGGCAAGTCTATCCTCACTGCAGTGAGAAAGGGGACCTGCAGGCGCAGAGCACATGGCTCCACACAGCTGCAAACCAAAAAATAACCAAACCCGTTGCCGTAAAGTCGGTTCTGACTCATAGCGACCCTATAGAACAGAGTAGAACTGCCCCATAGGGTCTCCAAGGAGCAGCTGGTGGATTTGAACTGCCAACCTTTTGGTTAGCAGCCATAGCACTTAACCACTGTGCCACCAGGGTTTCCAAGTGCCCCTAAAGACTTGGCACATTTCTCCCGGACCAGGCTCACCTGCTCTGCGGCGGTAGCTCAGAAGCTCCAGGCTTGCGTTTCAATAATGACATACACTTTTCCCTTTGGGCCAATGCTAAGTATGCTATGGAAAAGCAGTCCTTGCCAACACCCTCATAAATAAAACCTGGAACATCAGCAAATGCATTTTCAGAAACCAACCTTGCATTCTGAGAATGAATTTTGATTCACTAAATATAATTTTGAAAACCCATTCTCTAACATAAAGTATCGTTATTGATGTATGCCAAAGAGAAATAAGACTCTAGGGTGGTCATCCTCTCACGGTGCAAGGCCCTGCAGGATGGGATCTCTAGGTGCGTCTGCTACTGGGGGCTCCAGACACTGCAGGCATCCACAGGGGCAGGGACGGCATCTCTGCTTGTGGGGACATGCTTCCTCTGTGGGACCAGGACTGAGCCGACTGAGGCCCACAGCACACAGTGGGGCAGCAGCTCAAACTGACTCCCCAGAGTCTTATTCCCTGAAGAAAACAAACAGAACCCCCTCAATCCCACATCCTGGGAGTCCGCCATCTGCAACAGACACCGTGTGTGACGTGGAAACACAAAGCTCATGTTGTAGCCTTTGCTGGAACTAGGTATCTGGAAAGGGCTTTGCAATTGTGAACAGTATGTCCAGTTCCATATTCTGCACAATCAGACGCAATATGACACTTGACTTTTTAATATGAACAAATATGTTCGAGCAAGCTCTTGCAAGCCCTGGATTGTCAGCACAGTGTGTCTGTAGTGACCATATTCCTTCTCCTCAAAGCACACAAATGGCAATCGGACAGTCACTGGAACTCAGGGACAGTGGGGAGAAAACCAGCTTTACATGGATACAACGTGGAGTTAGATGTTTTCTACCCTACGGGGCCCGGGGCTGGGGGTTGAATCTTACCACAAAGATCTATGCTAAGTTATTCTAACAACACACGACAAACACAGTGAGTAACATCTCCCTTGGCATAGTGTGTAAACAGTCAAGGTAAAAGCCTTTCCCCCCAGAAAGGTGGCTTTAAATAGTAAAAGTATCCCTCGTCTCTCTTGAAACTTCCCCGTGCCTTCTCTGCTGGCGTCTCTTCCGCAGTTAGAGATGACCTTGCTGTGGGCTCTCCTGTCTTCATCTGCTCTACACCATCAGCCAGTGGCGGAGCTGGAAAGAAAACAGGGTTATTCAGAAGTGAAGGGAGGAGTTCCTTGGATAAAGGGGGCTCCTAGGCCAATGATCTGCACCTCTGTCTGGCCCAGATGGCTTGGAGGGGCAGATGGCTATGGACCTGATTGTGGCTAGTTCCCAAGGGATGCTCATCAGGATCAACAATGCTCTTGACACAGTGCTCAAGACCTGATGTCTGTTTTAAATATATGTAAATAAGTCATTACTCGACAAACGAAAGTCAGAGAGCATAGCTGCCTATGGACCAGAGGCCTTTGTGGTCTTGAGAACAGCTGCTAGGCTGGACAGACAACTGAGTACCTGCCAACTTACCCCACCCACTTGCTGTGTCACCTAGTGATGCCCTCTCCCTCCACTTTCTTGGGGCCTCTGGTCCCCCATCCAGGAAAGAGGGACACTGTGCTCCTGCAGTTCTGTCTTGCTTTCTGTGACCCCAGAACAGGTGCAAGAACAGGCCTCAGACAATCCCCACGCTCACTCGTGGCCTCATTACTGCTTGGGAATTGATGAGATAGACAGGGACAGCAATTTAGACTTTCTGCAGAATGTCATCATCTGTGATTATGCAGCTGTTAGTTCAGCCCAATTCTGAGCATAAGTTATTATGCATAACTGCAAGAACCATGGTGCAAACATTTCCACAACAAGCACATGCAGAGTTTGCTTCTGATACAACCACGTCTTGGGTGGAAGATGCTACGCTACTGCAGATGACATGACAGGGCTCTTCTGTTCATCCCGTTGGGAGAACTCTGGAGGGTGCTACTTCTTCAGTCCTGGTTAGGGGGTTGGGGGAGTGCTACAGTCCCTAAAGGAGTGAGCAGGTAAGGCCAGTGTAGCAGAGCCCAGGTGTGGTAGGGAGCCTGCAGGGGCCAGCAGGTAAGGCCAGTGTAGTAGAGCCCAGGTGTGGTACGGGACTCAGTGATGGGTGCCAGTGTGGCCAGGAGCCAGCCTGACCAGGGACACAGCTAGGAGGGGACCTGTAGCTAGAGTCCTATAGCAGCAGCTCTGGTGACAACTCTACTTCAGACCACAAGCGAGGGTGTGGAGCTGTGCCTGGGACTCCAGCTTTGAGCCCCAACCCCCTGAGGGTGAAGTATTCCTCTGTCCTGGCTACTGACAAAAGTAGAAGGTGGCAAAGGAAGAAGATGTGCTGTGGGGGAGGTGTCTCTCAGAATTCTGGCAGATTAAGATAAAGTTATAAATTCACAAATGGTAAAGAAGGCCAGAAGCACAAGATAGTAACCCACTATGAGTGAGAGTTAGCAGAAACCAGAAACCTCAGATTGAGAACCCCCAAGATGAGAGATGTTAGAATCATCAGGTACAGACTATAGGGCAGCTATGTATGAAATGTTTTTTAAAATTTTGTAAACAATTACCACCATAAACATTTTACAAGAAACAAACAGACTAAATGTAACTTCTGGAAATGAAACATAACTCTTAGTGAAGTAGAATACAATAAAGGGAGATGTGAGATGGAAAACTGATAGCTAAATTGTGGTACATCAACGAAATGGAATATTATGCAGTAGTCAAAATGGATGAACCATAGCTATATACCAAGATGCTACTTCCAGCTAAGATGAAGTAGCATGGACAAAATTTACCCTTCCACCTTAAACAAACAATGAGCAAAATATATGTAGCAGTGGTTTTCCAGACCCTGGGCATCAGACACAAAAGACAGTTATCCCCAAGAAAAAGGAAGTGAATATGGTGAGCCTTCCAATGCCTCAGCTCACTGCCTTGAGGGAGTTTCCAGCTGCAGCAGAGGGAGGGGAAACCCAGGAGGAGCCCAGTAGACCCCCTGAGGAGATGGAGCTGAGAGTCTGGGATGACCAAGAGGACAGAGTGTGCAGAACCAAGTATAAGAGAAGAGAGAGCCTTCCAAAGAGAGAACCCTGGAGATCAGGTACTAGGGCACAAAGAAGTCTCAGTCATTTCAAAGAATAGGTATTATGTGTCTTAGCACAATGCAATTTATTTAGAAATTAATAGCAAAAAAGATAAACAAAACATTTCTATATATTTGAGAATTAAAAAAAATTCTAAACAACTCATGGGTTGAAAAAAATCATACTGGAAATTAAAATATACTTAGAACTAAATAATAAAGAAAATACTACGTTAAAAATTGTGGGATGCAGCCAATGGTGGTATTCTGAGGCATATTCATAGCCTTAAATGCCTATATCAGAAAAGAAGGTTGAAAATTAATGATCTAAGGCCCAAATTAAGAAGTTAGAAAAAATATGTCAAAGTAAACCCAAAGAAAGTAGAAGGAAGAAATAATAAACACAAGAGTTGAAATTAGGGGTAGTCAGCAAAGCTACAGTAGAGTATCTCCAATAAAGTCAGCTTGGTTATTTGAGAAGACCGTAAAATTCTATGCAGAGTTAAATCTTGTGTGAGGAACCCTCAGAAAAGAAAGGCCCTGACAGAAGGTGGGCAGGAGGCTAGTGGGGAAGGCAGAGGACACCTAGACAGACAAGGTCAGGAACCAAAGCTCCCAGGCCTGGATGCTCCTCTTGTGTTTGGAACAGTTGAGCAAATTTGAAGGCAGAGAAAAAGGTGTCTGAGGGAGGGAGGAAAGAGGGAAGCTGGGGCCCTGGGATCAGACCAGTCTGCAACCAGGACCTGGACTGGGATGGAAGAACAAAAAAATGAAGTGCAAGTATGGGGAGGCAATCAGAGATGGTCGGGTCTCATGAAAAATTGCAGCTTCTCAACCCTTGCCTTCCTGCCCCACCTACCATGGAGCAAGAACAGAAAAATGATAGTTCATGGTTTTGAATGAGTCCCTGGCTGTCCAAACAGTTAAGTACTTGACTACTAACCAAAATGTTGGCAGTTTGAACCCACTCAGAGGTGCCCCCAGAAGAAAGGCCTGATGTTCTGCTTCTAAAAAGCTATAACCTTGAAAACCCCATGGAGCAGTTCTACTCTGAACACATGGGGTTGCCATGAGTCAGAATGGTCTCAGTGGCAACTAACAACAACAATGGTTTTGAGAGCCCAGAATAAACGTTTGGCATGTTTGAACTCTGTCTGTTAATGTCTGCACACAAAACAAGTCCCTGAAGCACAGAGAGGCTCAGTAACTTGCCCTCAGTCACACAGCTGGTCTTCGGGAATCCATGTGGGTGGGTGCTCTTGATGCATCTCTTTTAGCACATCTCTTCCACAGCTGGATGAAACCTCCTTACCTAGAGTAAGCAGCTGGATTTTCAGGACACCAACATCCACTGGGACTACTGGATGTCCTTCTCTCAGTCCTCCAGGGTCAGGGACGCAGTGACTCAAACACCATCTAACAGCATGTTTTTAGGCAGGGGTTGGTCGAGGAGGCACATTTGGACAGAGAACTTCCTCTTAGAGCTTGAAGTCCAGTGCTGAGCAAAGGGCAGGTCGTTCTGGATTCTCTGCCGAAGGGGCCTGAGGGTGTTGGTGGCACTCACCGTGAATTGGCGGACTTCCCCGCTGTCCACCAGCTCATGTTCCTTCTCGGGCGTGATGGCGTAGGCCAATTTCTATAAGAGAACACAAGACCATCAGCCCCAGCACACCCTCAACAAGGGAGACAGGCTCCCCTCGATCTGCCACGTGGTCAGATTCCTGAGTTGGTGGTCCTCTTGAGTCTCCTTAAACTCTAGAACAAGGCAGTAGATCCACTGATCAAATCCCAACTTGAAATAAAAACCACCTTGGAGGCGGTGTTCCATGCTAAGTCAGCATGTGTGGTGGGTTCTTGTGACCCACAAGCACACGTCTCCAGCGCCTCCAAGCCCAGATGTGTATACTCAGAGCCCACATACGCAAGGAGGTACTTGCTTTTTGCCACATTAATCACATAGAAAAGCGATCAGGAAGCTGGCCTTCTGCCATCTTGGTCACGGCTCACTTGTGCAGCTTGGATGAAGAGCCAGAGCCAGCGTTCATCCTCACGCCCTCAAAAAGCAGGCAGGCATCTCAGCTCTCTCACTCCCAGAAGCCCTTTTCTCGGACCCTCTGAGGGCCAGCTTCCTCCCCACCCCCCAGGTGCCCCGGGCTCCTGGGGATTTGTGGCGCTGCCCCACTCCTGATGGTCTCCGCAGTTCCACATGTCTCTGTAAGCTACTGAGATCTGACTTTGTCCATTGTCAGATCTGGGCTGTGCGAGCGGCTAGGACGTCAGCTCCTCAGGCAGCTGGGCTGAGGCCCTCCTCCTCCAGGCCCCCAAGCTAGCCCAGGCCCCTTCCTCCCGAGTCAGACCTAGAGACCCAGAGGGTCAGCTCCCCACAGGTACTGCCCAGCTGCCCTTGCTCCCCTCTGGAAGGTCCCTGAGGATCGGTGACAGTCAGGGAGTGGGGGCTGAGGAGGGGCAGTCCACAGCCGGCCATAGTCTTCTTCCTGGGGCCATGACCAGCCTGAGGGCCCCACACCCAGGAGAGGGCCAGAAAGTCCCAGGGCTCTGTGGTCCACTCCCAGCCCTGGTCTGACTGGACTCAAGCTGGAGGGACCAGTCGCTCAGTTGTGGGACACCCACCACTGTGTCTGAGACCAGGGCCACCATTTGGTCCTGAGGTGGATCCTTGGACCCAGCTGGGGTGGAGTTACATGGCTCCGCTACCCTCAGCCAGGGCACCCATTTCCAAGAAAGACTTGGGAATGAGAGCATAGGGCTGTTCCCACAAGTCCCTAACTACAGGCCTCAGCATGGGTGCGGTCCCTGCAAGGAGAGCTGCGCCTTTCATCTCCATGAAATCACAGTGCCGCCATGGCCAATGGCGGGCCTTTACACAGTTTCACCCGCTCCCTCCTTTACAGACGACAAAATCGAGGCAGAGAAAAGGGAAGTGCCGTGCTCTGAGGCTGCAGAGCACCCTCACAGCTCACGGGGGCGCAGCCCTGACTTCTCTTCCCCACAGGTGAGCTCAGCCCTTGGGGAGGGCGTGAATGGTGGCCTGACTTCACCCCCACCATCAGACAGACTGTCCTTTTCTCCTTCATCAGCACACACCGTAGCACATACGTGTGCACACACAGAAACACATACATGCACACACACAGATATGAACACACACACATGCATGGACATACAGACACACATATGGACACATGCAGACAGAAGCACAGAACACATGGATACACCAGCATAGACACAGACACACACAGACACATGGACGCAGACACAAGTACAGACACTCACAGACACACACAGAAACACAAGCACAGACACACACACAGACACACTCAGAGACACAAGCACAGACACACACAGAGACACACACAGACACAAGCACAGACACACACACATAGACACAAGCACAGACGCATATAGACATAGACACACACAGACAAAAGCATAGACACACGGAGACACACACACACAGACACAAGCACAGACACACACAGACACAAGCACCGATACACACACAGATACAGATACACAAGCACAGACAGAGACACAAGCACAGACACATATAGACATAGACACACACACAGACACACCCAGAGACACAAGCACACACACAGACACAAGCACAGACACACAACACACACACAGACACAAGCACAGACACACACAGACACACAACACACACACAGACACAAACACAGACACACACAGATGCACAGACACACACACAGACACATGGACATACACACACACAGTTCGCCATCCTCCTCACCAGCAAATGCCTGTCAGCCTCTCTCTTGTCTCTCCACCATGGCCACACGTCCAGCCTTCCTCCCCCTGGTCAGGGCAGGAGCAGAAACCAAGGACATGGAGACCCACCTGGACCTTGTTGAGTGACCTCACAATTGGGAAAAAGGCCAGAATGGCCAACCCTCTGTCCCAATACCCACCTCTCGAAAGGACCCGGGCAAGCTGCAGAACTTATAGGTGGCGTAGATGGGCACCATGGACATGGAGGACGTGGCGATGACCCAGCCCAGCACATTAGCCCAGTCGGGGAAGATGTAGGTTCCGTAGTGCGGGGGCCTGAAGGTCACAATGCTGACCACGACCACAAACTGAAACCAAGGGACACAGGTCAATGCGACGTCTCTTGGCCGGCAGGGCTCTGGGACAGAGGTGGAAACTCAAGCAAGATTTTGTGGCAGAGGCTCACTCAGCACACGCCTCTATGAGCGCCAGGCCCTGCCAAGGCGAGGCAAACACCAGAGGTGGTCCTGTTCCGATTGAGTGGGGAGCAGCTGGCCTGCAAGCCCTAAGGTGGTTGTGCGGGGACAATATTCTTTATGGGATGCAGGTCCTATTAGGTCACATTTGGTGAGTGAGAATTCTCCTAACTGTCCTCTGAAAACTTCGCATTATCACATCCGTAAGACTCGTGTGTGTAGGCAAACTAATTGATAACCTGCTTATCTAGCCTCAGTTATTAGGATGCAGCTGAGGCTACCGATGTTAGAAAGAGGCTTAAGGGGTGCAGGGCAGGCTCAGTGATCCAGCAGCTTTCTGAAGGCTTGGGCATGGCCCCCAATAAGAAATATCTTTTCTGTGGAGAACCACACTCCAACCTCCTTCTGTCGTTATATGAAATAAGTATTCTCGGGAACATGGTCTTCCTAAGGCATACTTTATTCTATTCTGACAGACCACCACGTGTCTGTCAGTTTGTTGTACTGTGGGGGCTTGCATGGTGCTGTGATGCTGGAAGCTATGCTACCGGTATTCAAATACCAGCAGGGTCACCCAGGTTTCAGTTGAGCTTCCAGACTAAGATAGACCAGGAAGAAGGACCCTGCGGTCTACTTCTGAAAAGAATTAGCCAGTGAAAACCTTATGAATAGCAGTGGAACACTGTCTGATATAGTGCTGGAAGATGAGCCCCTCAGGCTGGAAGGCATTCAAAATATGACTGCGAAGAGCTGCCTCCTCAAAGTGGAGTCAACCTTAATGATGTGGATGGAGTCAAGCTTTTGGGACCTTCATTTGCTGATGTGGCATGACTCAAAATGAGAAGAAACAGCTGCAAACATCCATTAATAATAGGAGTGGAATGCATGAAGTATGAATCTAGGAAAACTTCTGCAGTCTGAAATTGATCAAACATACAATCAAGATGCATGGATAATTACTGGCAATTGGAATGTGAAAGTTGGAAACAAAGAAGGATCGGTAGTTGGAAAATATGGCCTTGGTGATAGAAATGATGCTGGAGACTGCATTATAGAATTTTACACGACCAATTTTGAAGACTTCTTCATTGCAAATACCTTTGTTCAACAACATAAATGATGACTATACACGTGGACCTTGCCAGATGGAATACACAAGAATCAAATCGACTACATCTGTGGAAAGAGATGATAGAAAAGCTCAATATCAGTCAGAACAAGGCCAGAGGCTTACAGTGGAACAGACCATCAATTGCTCGTACGCAGGTTCAAGGTGAAGTTACAGAAAATCAGGACAAGTCCATGAGAGCCAAAGTACAACCTTGAGTATATCCCAACTGAATTTAGAGACCATCTCAAGAACAGATTTGATGCACTGAACGCTAAGGTCTGAAGACCAGACGAGTTGTGGAATGACATCAAGGACATCATACATGAAGAAAGCAAGAAGTAATTTAAAAGATAGGAAAGAAAGAAAAGATCAAAATGGAAGTCCGAAGAGACTCTGAATGTTGCTCTTGAACATAGAGTAGCTTATGCAAAAGGAAGAAATGATGAAGCAAAAAAGCTGAACAGAATATTTCAAAGGCCAGCTCGAGAAGGCAAAGTAAAGTATTTTGATGACATGTGCAAAGATCTGGAGTTAGAAAACCAAAAGAGTAGAACATACTGGGCATTTCTCAAGCCAAAAGAACTGAAGAAAAAATTCAAGTCTCGAGTTGCAGTATTGAAGGATTCTGTGGGCAAAATATTAAACGACACAGGAAGCATCAAAAGACATGGAAGGAATACAAAGTCACTATTTCAAAAAGAATTAGTTGACTTTCAAGCATTTCAGGAGGTAGCATATGATCAAGAACCAATGGTACTGAAATAAGAGGTCCAAGCTACATTGAAGGCACTGGCGAAAAACAAGCCTCCAGGAATTGACGGAATACCAATTGAGATGTTTCCACAAATGGATGTAGTGCTGGAAGTGCTCACTCATCTATGCCAAGAAATTTGGAAGACAGCTACCTGGCCAACCGACTGGAAGAGATCCATATTTGTACCGATTCCAAAGAAAAATGATCCAGCCGAAGGGGGAAATTATCAAACAATAACATTAATATCACATGCAAGTAAAATTTTGCTGAAGATCATTCAAAAGTGGTTGCAGCAGTACATCAACAGGCAACTGCCAGAAACTCAAGCCAGATCCAGAAGAGCAGGCGGAATGAGGGATATCATTGCTGATGTCAGATGGGTCTTGGCTGAAAGCAGAGAATACCAGAAAGATGTTGACCTTTGTTTTATTGACCATGCAAAGGCATTTGACTCTGTGGATGGTAACAAATTATGGATAACATTGAGAAGAATGGGAATTCAAGAAAACTTAATTGTGCTCATGAGCATGAGGAACCTGTACTTAGACGAAGAGGCAGTCATTTGAACAGAACAAAGGGATATTGTGTGGTTTAAAGTCAAGAAAGGTGTGCATCAGGGTTGTATCTTTCACCATACTTACTCAATCTGTATGCTGAGCAAATAATCCGAGAAGCTGGACTATATGAAGAAGAATGTGGCATTAGGGTTGGAGGAAGACTCATTAACAACCTCATCCATCGAGAATCCTATGGAGTACAGTTCTACTCTGACACACCTGGGGTAGCCATGAGTCTGGTTATAGAGAGAAAAGCCAGAAAAACACCTTCAAAGGAGACCAAAGATGATTTTAGGGATGAGGCATGCCATCCTCAGCTGAGTCCCAAGACTCCCGCCAATTCCAGCCCAGTGTCCCTTGTCTCAAACAGTGTCTAGTGTCCCCTCCCGGGCCTTGGGCACATTCACTTCATCATCTGAAAATCCAAGTGCAGCTGCAGCTGGAGCATGTGGCAGGTGCCAGAGCAGGGGGCAGAGGGCGGAGGGGCAGAAGGACTGTGCGGCCACCCTCGGTGCCTTACCAGGAGGAAGCAGGGGCTGACGAACTTCCAGCACAGACGCCAGTACAGGCCGGGCCGCCGTCCAATCATCTGCTTGATGTCATCACTGAACTGCCCGACGCCTGGGGAAAAGGCAGCAGCAGACACAGCACAGTTAGGACGGTCACACCATCTCTCTGAAGCTCTGGCACCTGCTGGGGTCCTTGCTGCCCCCCGGGGTCCCCAAGCTCAGGCTGCAAGCTGGCTCCCAGCCTTCTCCAGAGGAGCCAGACCCCACTCCAGCTCATCCAGTGGTCTAGAGCTGCCTCGAGGACCCCACAGGAGTCCTCTCTGGGTAGACCCAGTCCTGAGGCTGTGCTGGTGGCATGCCTTCCTCATCTCCAATGGCCACCAAGGGCGGGAGACCTGCCTGTCAGAGCACCACAGCTGAGCCTCCGCCCGGTGGTGGGGCTCCAGCAATACCCCTTGCCTGCCCTATGCCCTTTGTTACCTCCACGTCCTCCCCACCCCACCCCCATGTCCCGGCTCCCTCTGCAATCTTTATTTGTTAAGAAAAGCTATTTTCAGAAATGTAATGAATTGGTATTTCTTCCTCCAAAGCAAATACCAGTGGTCCACCTTAAAACCCGCTACTGTCAAGTTGATTCTGACTCATACAGACCCTATAGGACAGACTAGAACTGCCCCATAGGGCTTCCAAGGAGCACCTGGTGGATTTGAACTGAACCTTAGCAGCCAAACGCTTAACCACTGCACGTATTTTTCTTCCAGTGATATTCTCTAACTCCTTTAGGCGTTGACAACAAAGAGATGCTGGAAGCGATTTCTCCTGTCCGAAATCTGGGCATGTCCTCGGGTACACCTATGCTGGTCTGCGTGAGTCTTTTGGTAAGTCTTTGGGCTATCACACATGGGGGACACATTAGAAAGAAGCCTTCATTCCGAATTTCCTCTTCACATCCCAACCTCTACTGTAAGAACTCAACGCAGAGAGATGGACCTGGGCACAGAGGAATGGAGAAGTAACAATCCCAAAGGCCAGAAAAGAGGGAGTGTCCACTGGAGCTGCCTCGCTCCCCTCTGGACTCCACCTCCCAGGCGGCAGCAGTGGTACTGGGGTCAAGAGCGCTAAGACCCAAAGAGACCCTCAGGTGCACTGGAAGGCTGGTGCATTCCGATGCAATCTTACTAGAAACACAGATTTTGTTTCGTTTAGGTTTCAACCCAAACTGGTTCAAACAGTTGCCACTGAGTCGACTCCAACTCATGGTGAACCCACGTGTGTCAGAGTAGAACTGTGCTCCAAAAGGGTTTTTAATGGCTGATTTTTTGGAAATAGATTGCCAGGCCTTTCTTCTGAGGTGTCTCTGGCTAGACTCGAACCACCAGCCTTTGAGTCAGTAGCCAAGTGTTTAACCATTTGTGCCATCCAGGGACTCCTTCATTTAGGTTAGAGGGTTACCAATTGTGGTTTAGAGACATAAAATAGATTTCTGTCCTCTGAGGCTTTGGCAAAAATGCAGATGTGATTTTACATGGCGAACAGGCAAGGCCAGCTTCTCTCCAGCCCGGGAGAGCTCATGGCAGGGAGATGTGTTTGAGGAGTTTTTTCTTTCTTTGTGAGTTCTTTTGGGGGGGCAGTGGGGTGGGGAGATTACAGTTTAAGGTGACAAAGCACTAATCCCAGGCACCAATGAAAGAGCTTGCTATTTCCCTTTTCCCATTTCCTTAGAATAAGATCTACGTGTCAGGCTAAGCCTTGCAAAGTCACGGTGGTGTTTTTAGGTTATAATTTCCACGGCTCTAGGCAGGGAATGTGACCCTTGTATCTAAGTGACTCTGGAAGTCACCTCAATTTTGGGTGTGTGCAGTACCAAGGCCATTAGCTCCTGTCCAGACATGACGCATACGCATTTATAAAGAAATGCACACTTTACACAGACCTGGCGAGGAAGGCTGAGTCGGCAGCATATACCCATTTCACAGGAGAGAAAACAGAAAGCGAGGTGTGACCACTTGTCCAGGTCAGCAAGGCTGGCTGGGAGAGGACAAACCTGCATCCAGGGTAGGTGTTCCGTTGCTGGTTAAACGACCCTCAGCGGTCCCAGGAGACAGTGGTCAGCCTCCCCAGTGCTGGGGCCCAGGAGCAGCAGTGCGCCGGCAAGGGGAGCCCTGACTGTGGATTAGTCCCCGACCTCTGAAGGCACACAGTCACCATGTATGAATGAGGGGCAGGACTCGGTGAGGTTTGGAGTCCTGGTCAGCCCGGAAAGCCCACGAGCAGTAGCATAGTCTGCGCTTGTGACAGTCCCACGCGTGAGAAGCCACACCTTTGGGAACACCTGTCGCTCTATTAAAGGAGGCGTTTAGCGTTTATTCATGGTGCTCACTAATAGGGGCCAGTTTCAGCTGCTTCTCCAACAGGGAAGAAGCTTACACTGTCATAGCCCTAGTCAGCAGGGACTCCTGGTTGTCTGCACGTGGAAACTCCTTGTTATAGATTGAACTGTGCCCACCAAAAGTTATGTGGAAGTCCTAACACGGTTCCTGTGAATATGACCCAGTTTCTTTTGTTATGTTAATCAGGTCATACCGAGAAGGGTGGGTCCTAAACCTAAATCCCTTCTGAGCAGTGTCTTACAAAAAGAGCAGAGTAGACACGAAGACACACATGGGGAGGACAGACTCCAAGGAACACCAAGGGACAGCCAAGGAACTCCCAGGGCTACTGACAAGGAAGGACCCTCCCCTAGAGCCAGTGCCCTGATTTGGACTTCTAGCCTCCAAAACTGTGAGACAATAAATCCCTGCTCTTTCAAGCCACCCACTGGTGGTATCTGGTAGGAGACTAAGATGTCGCTCTACCTCTACCAGCAGTTCTAAGGGTCCCAATGTCCCAACTAACCACATCTTCTCAAGAATTAATTAGGATGTTGACATCACACGATCAAGTAGCCACCTTGAGGGACTCTGACTACAGTAGGGATTTTTTGGCTGCTATCCAGGCTAACCATCTTCACTGATTCAATGGAACCAGATAACTGCCAATCCTCCCCTCCTTTGTGATGCTGGAGCAGCCACACACAAGCTGTATGAAACTGCATCTATTTTCAAGCCAGAAAGAATGCAACATGGTTACAAAGCAAGGGGATGCCGACTCAGCTGGCTACAAACACGGCAGAGCACAGGGTCCTCCCCCGTGTATGTACTCCAGCCCCTGGACCCAGGCTCTGTCCTTACCATAGAACCAGGCCACCCCGATGGCTTCAATGAGCACCCCAAAGAGGATGGATGTGCCGGCTGCAAAGTGATCTAGCAGTGTGAAGACATAGATGCCGCCCTGGAAGAGAGGGAGCGCTTCCTGAATTCGGTGCCCACACAGCAGCATCCCCACCATGAAAGGGCTTTTCCTACGAGGTAAACCAGGACTCTATTTTATGTTTATTTACGTCACTAACACTTAACGTACTTGCAGGTTCCCATGGACATCTCTACTACGCAAACATCAACAAAAAAACCACCTCTCCGCTCCTTTCCCAGGGATTCCAGTGTGGTTGGAGATGAAACCAACCAAATGCCACACTCAACAGTGCCTGTCTTGGGAGGGGAGGTGACCCCAGTCACCCCAGCCCCTATGGTGACCCCTCCTTTGCCCTCCAGCCCCACAAACCCAACAGGGAGGCAGCTTCAGCCAAGGGCACTTCCAAAGGAGCTGTCCGAGTGCTGAAGTAACTCAGAGACCGAGCTGTGGACATTCTTACCGTGACCCCACATACTCTTACAATTCACAGCTTTTTAAGGAGAGGCAGCTTTGTAGAAACGCTGCAGTTTTGTTGGACCCAAACCATACCTCCCAGCACCAAGTGTTAATGAAGACTTCATCCTCACAAAGCTCCCCACTGCAGAAGGCCCACACACGAGACAGCTGGCAACTTTACGTACGTTGGTGACACAGAAGAGGGAGAGGAGAAAGGTCGCCAGGACGATGAAGAGGGTGAAGAGTTCACGGTGCCGGCGCAGCAGCTGGAACTCATCGATGAGTCCAGTGATGACCGACTCCATCCCGCCCATCTGCAGTCGCACACAGAGCACAGAGGGCACTGGGGTGGGGCGGCATCCGCACAGGGTCCCAGGCCCGGTTTACTTGTGGTTCCGTGGACTTCGGCCCAGGGGATGGACGTGGAATCAGGGAAGTGCATGACACATGAAGTGGCCATCGGAGAGAAAGGGCCCGGGGTGGATACCCTGTCCACTGACAGTGATTTGCACCATTGCTTTGAAATGACTGGTCTGGTAAAACGTTCCATGGCTGAAATAATAAGATCTACTGCCACTGTGGTCCACGAAAGGATGTGCAGGTCACAGAGGCTCAGTTCGGCCAGGTTTTTCTAAGCAAAATGTTTCTTCCACGAACAGCTTTATTTTGCTTCCTAGGGCGAACCTGGCCTGGTCATTGGCTATGTGCTCACTGACAAACCTTACTGACTCCCAAACACTGTCATAACGGAGTATCACCCAAGGAGTCCTGGCACCTGCGAAATGGCCTCTCTGCGCTGCTCTGTCAAACAAGCTGCTTTCTTCTGTAAGTGCTGTTCATGGAATTCACCTCCCCTAGGTGGTGGGCTCGTCCATCAGACTTGCTGTCCAGGGAACCCCAGAGGCCCGTGGTCTACCCAATGGGCCAGCATCTGAGCTGAAGGCAGAGGGCAACAACCCAGGATACCTTTGGGGAGGTTTCCCAGCAAACGTGAGAATCATCCAGCATTTTAGGGAAAGGGAATCATGATTCACTGTCTTTCCAGGAAGTGAGCCTGAAGACCATCAGAGTCAGCAAACAGCATGGGGTGGGTGAACAAGAAGCCCACAGCCAACTGTGTGTGGGTAAACAAGGAGCCCACAGCTAACCATGTGCAACGCCATGGTCTCAGCTGTTGGTTCCTGGACAGTGACAGGAGAAGGAGCAGAGAAACTCCTGCAGGCCCAGGGCTGAGCGAGGGCCAGCCTGTTGCCTCAAGACTGCAGAGTAAACCCAGGGGTGGACACAAAGTGGTCAGGGCTCAGCTGAGGAGCCTTCTGCAGCCCTGCCTCCAGGACACACCTGTTCCTCACAGGGAAGGAAGCTAAGGGGCTCAAGGCAAACCGGCAAGGCTTGCTTTTTCCGCTCTGTGGCTCTACTGCCCTGTTATTCTGTTTGAAGCCTTGCTGCTGGGCCCTTCTCTGTGTGTGTTTAGAATTTGCAGGTGGCTCGGTACAGAGGACACTTTGATGCCCGAGAGTGGGAAGACGGAAGGGAAGTGTCAGTTCTACCCAGTCACCCCAGCCCCAGGAAACGGTTTTCCAAAATAACCACGGGGTTGTCCAGTCCCACCAGAGGCTCTGGGCTGACAGCTAGGGTGGGCTTCATGATGGCAGTGTCATGTAAGCCCAGGGACACTCAAGGAGCATCAGAGGGCTTGCCTGGCCCTGCAAGGGCAGCGTCCCCCGAGGAGTGGACTTGGGGGCCCGCAGGCATGCGCTGTGCCAACAGTACTCACGGCGCTGTCGATGCCCAGTGTGAGCAGCATGACGAAGAAGACCACGGCCCAGGCCGACGACAGGGGCAGCGTGGCGATGGCTTCAGGGTAGATGATGAAGATCAGCCCAGGCCCTGGAATCATAACACGACTCTGCTGCCCCAGTTGCTCCCCTCCCACTGACCCCCACCCCGCCCCGGAAGGCTGGCAGCACCCCTTCCAAATGCCTCCTGTGGGACTGGTCTAGCATCTTTCCTGTCGCTGTCTCTCCTTTTCTCCTGGAGAGTCCCCCACTGCCCCGCCACGAATTCGGCAGATGCCTGGCCCAGGACCCTAGAAAAGAGAAACCCAGGACCACTCAGAGGGCTCCTGTCTGTCACCGCCAGCCCTGGCAACCGTGTTCCTCCAAACCGCTCGTGTCTGAGGTGGGCTATGGGGCTGCTGGGAGAGAAAAAGGGAGGAGAAAAATTAAAAGAAAGAAATGGAAACCAGAGGAGACACAAGAGGGGGTTTCCAGGGCGGTTCTGCCCCTTCGTATCTGTTAAGGTTTGGTGACGTCTTTCCAGTCCATTTCCCTGTGTGTATGCTATCTCTGTCTCTGTCTCTCTCTATCTCTGTCTCTATCCCTACCTCTACACACACGTACATGCAAGCACACCATTTGGTGGCCTTCATCTTGCATTTAGCAAAGAGATATCATAAATATTTTTTGTGCCAATGAATTACTTTAAGAGTTAATTTTTTTAAAAACACATAATGAATACAGAGGTGCTGTATGGTGCAACGGTTAAGCGTTTGGCTGCTGATCAAAAGGTCGGCAGTTCAAACCCACCCAGTGGATCCTCGGGACAAAGATTTGGTGATCTGCTCCTGTAAAGATTACAGCCTAGGAAATCCTCTGGGGCAGTTCTACTCTGCACATGGAGTCACTGTGAGTTGAAGTCAACTTGACAGCACCCAACACCAACCACTAAGTAACTGTTTTCCAGTGTGTTTCTTTTAAAGGCCGTGTACACGTCTGTTCACGCATGAGCACTCGCCTCTGATCACCTCTGATAAAGTCCTAAGAGCAGAACTGCTGGTGGAGGGACAAGTGGGCCTTCAGGCTGGCAAGGAGCCCTCTCCTACTGTAGCTCTAATTCCTGTATCCTTGCACCCGTCCAGCAGGGGTGCGGGGGAAGGGCTGGGCCAGCAGGGATGCGGGGGAAGGGCTGGGCCAGCCCAGGACACTGTGTGCAGGGCACTGTGGGAAGCTCACCTGTGAGATTCCAGGACTTGGGGTGACAGAGACCACTGAAAGGCTCACTAGCCCCTGGGTCTCATCCTGGGCTCTAGCCTGATCACCAAGACAAAACATCCTCCTCCTTTTTCTCTTTCTTTTTTTTTTTTTTCAGTATTTAATAAATATTTTTTATTGTGTTTGATCCAACTCATAAAATATCATAAAGATCACCACTTTTCTGGGAATTCATGGTGTTGCCAGAGACTTGTAATGCATCTGCAGATACTGAATCTCTATCACCCCACCTCTCAGAGTACATCAATGTTGGAGGCACCACCATCCATCGTGGCCAGGCCAGTTGTTGGGGTCACCACTGCCTGGAGCACAGTATCCAGGCCAGCGGTACTAAGTCCAGTAACAAAACCCTAGGATGTGGCAGCAATGCCTGCAACACCTTCAGAAAGTTAAAGACCCTCCTCCTTGATGCTTCATGGGTGCGCATTTCCTTGACCCTCTCCCTCTCTCTGCCTCTGCGTATGGGGCAGCTGTCGTGCCCACTCCCTTCAAGCCTCGGGGGCCCCGAGAGGACAGCCTCTTCTGTATCTACAGTGCCCAGTGCAGACTCGCCAGGCCCACCCTCAGCACATGGCTACGGAGCCGAATAATCCAGTGAGCGTATACTTTTGGCTGTAAACACACGATAAGATGATAGGGAACAGCACTGAACATCCTAATACTGACATGTGGGTTTATCCAAACAGTACTGTGGAGTCTAGTGGGAGAGATCAATAGGTAAGCCGACCTTTCTGACCCAAGACAGGAAGTAGAGCATGCACTGGGAGCAGGGGGCCAGCACCTGCCCCAGTGGGGCTCTGGGAAGGTGTCTGTGGTTCTTCAGACTGTCCTGACCGCTACCCTCCAGGCACATGAGAGAACTGAGCTTCTCCACCTAATTTGAGGTTACGTGTGGCTGTGGACTCCCTCTGGCCAATGCACATGGACACGAGGGGCATCACCTTGAGTTACAGGTACGTGTGTGACTCACTTGGGTCACTGGCCCTGCTGTAGGCATCCTCCTGGAAGCCCACACTGAAAGGGGCTCCATCAAAGGGAGGACACCCCACCGATCCTCAGTGGGCTTACTGCAGAGGATGGAAATAAACTTTTTTTGGGAGGGTGGACCATTATGCTTTCAAAGTAGTTGAGTTTGGTTTATAAATATTCCTGTAAAATTTTAATGGGATACAGCTTAAAATAATTTATAGTTTAACTCAATAGAATTTTAATGTTTACAATGGCCAGTCGAGTCTTCTGCTATCATGATATGATCCCCCTTTTATTCAAGTCTTCTACGTGCTTTTCGTTGTTATTGTTAGCTAGCGGCAAGTTGGCCCCCAGCTCGTGGTGAACCCCATGCACAATGGAACAAAACGCTGCTGGTTCTACGCCGTCCCCAGGATCAGTTGTGGATCAGACCACCATGATCCATAGGGTTTTCACTGACTGATTTTTGGAAGTAGATTGCCAGGCCTTTCTTCCTAATCAGTCTTAGTCTGGAAGCTCCACTGAAACCTGCTCAGCATTAAAGCAACACACAAGCCTCCACTGACACCGACAGATGAGGCGCACTGGCCAGGAATCAAACCCAGGTCTTCCACAGAGGGGGCAAGAATTACCACTGAAGCCCCACTGCCCCCTTAAGTGCTTTAGGAGCTTTACTATGTGTGGGTGGAGTGGATACACACCACACGTGCACAAAAGTGGATTATAAAGAAATACACTTTATATGTCTAACATTTGGGGACTGGTTGTTACTGCAGCATAACCCTTCCACCCTGACTGATACAGTATCTGAAGCCAGAGGGGCCTAAGTGGAGGCTGACAAGATACAAGCTAAATCAGCTAAGCAGTTATCCCAACAAGCAGAGGGTGCTCCAGGCTGAGGGGCAGCACTGGCAAAGGCCAAAGAGTTTCTCTACGAAGTGGTGCCTTTGGCGAACCACTCGTGCAGGTAAAGAGACCTCCCTCAGGAGGGGCATGGGCGGAGGTACGAGTGGTGCCCTGAGGACTCAACCAAGAATCAATAAACTCTGGACTCAAATGATTCCAAAGCAAAAAAGATTCCGACCATTTTCATCATTAACTTGGAAAGATAGGCATACTTAACTCATTAGCATGGGCTCCTAAATCTCTTTACAGAGATGTAACATAGTCTGCATCGGACACATGTCTGGCACCATCCCAGAGGAATGGGACAGTTACTGATCTTCTTCAAGCAGTGAACTAGAAGCAGAGCTGGGAGCCACTCCCAGAGGCCTTTCACAGGGTCCTATTGTCAGCCGAGGGGATAGTGGTGGTTCAGAGGTAGAATTCTCACCTTCCATGCGGGAGACCCTGGTTTGATTCCCGGCCAATGAACCTCAAGTGCAGCCACCACCTGTCTGTCAGTGGAGGCTTGTGTGTTGCTAGAATGCTGCACAGGTTTTGGCAGAGCTTCCAGACTAAGATAGACTAGGAAGAAAGGCCTGGCGATCTACTTGCAAAAATCAGCCAAGGAAAACCCTATGGATCACCACAGTCTGTGTCATCATGCCTGGGGTCACCATGAGTTGGGGGTTGACATGGCAGCAGCTAACAACAACATTATTAGCCAAGAAGCAGAGGTGGGCTGGCATTCTCTGCCCGATTCCCAAGGCCGTGATCCAAGGGGTCTAATTTCCAACGTAGCGGTTGGGGCAGATGCTCTAAAGTCTAAATGCCAGAAGCCATGGACCTGGAAGACAGTTGTCAGTTTGGCTGAGCATAATGTAAATTTCCTCACCTTTCATTTCCATACTATGTTAACATTTCACCCTGTTTTCTGGAGAATTAGAGCTATAAATGACATTTACTTTGCTTGTCACAGAAATGCATAGAAGACATTAAGCTTTGCTGTTGGGCTAACCGGGGTTTTGCAAGCTATTACTAGTTATCATAATAAAGGGCAAAAAGAGCGCTAAAATGCATAAATGCAACAGTGAGTAAATTTCACTGCTCGCTATTTATTTGCATTATGCTTCCTTTCTCCTGCCTTTATTGTCCTTTTTTTTTTTTTTCCAAGAGGAAAGGATACGGACTTGGGAAACATACACACCTGAACTTCCAACACCAGACCTCTGCTCTCTCGGGCTGATCTCAGGGTATCTCCGAGAATCAAGTGGATAATGAAGGTAGACCCCCAGCTCAGTGCTCAGGGCGCAGGTGATGCTGCCCACTGCTCTCCGCATCCCACTCCCTGAACCCGCAGACGCATCCGAGAGTATAGAGAAGACCCGGGAAGAGACGAGGCAGTGGGAACACCGTACCCTGGACGGGGCTTTCCTGTGCTTGAGAGCAGCAATAGTTTCCAGCCCAGCAGGAGAACAATGCCCAGAGGAAGCCAAAGCTTTCTTATCCAGGTGGACAGCCCAGCCTCGAGCCCGGGGACATTCTCTGATCTCTGTATCGATTACCCTCAGAACAATCCAGAAGGCAGGTGAGGGATGCTGCAGGCTGCCAGGAGGCCCAGCAAGCTTGAGAAACTCCGGAGCACCGGGTGGACCCAATTTAAAGCTACCCGTGCCACAACCTTCTACCCCATGTGCTAGAACCAAGCAGATGCCCCCAAATGTCCAGGGAGCCACAGTGATCCGAGGACCTCCCTTGGCCCGCCCCCTGCATCTGTGCCCGGCTTCCTGGCTCCCTCCTGCCTGGGGCATTTCTCCTGGGCTGATACCTCCTACCTATGTTATCTGTACCTGCCCATGTCCTCACCTCTCTGCTGCTGGGGCCCCGAGCTTCCCTGTGTGCAGACACACCCTCAGCATCTGGGTTGGCAGGTTGGGGGTCTCCATTGCCCCCTAGTGCCAGAGACTTTAGGGGTTTTTCTACTTATTATCCAACTCGCATCTAAATATGTCCTGGTCTCTAGAACCAAGCTTTGGAGCAGGATAATTGTTCCTTACCAAAGCAGCCCAACTTCTTTTTGGTAAAACACGGTGAAGTCCAGATCCCTTGCTTTCTGAGCCTGTAGTCATATGTTGCTTGGATGGGTCAGTTCTGCCATCTGCCACCCGGAGCTGCATGTCCGCTACCCACCACCATGGCATAAAAAAGACCCAGAGTGGCAGCGTTCACCCCAAAGGCCAGGATTACTACCGCACCTGAAGAACCAGACCCTTGTCCTACAGCCCGACGCGGCTTCGGAAAGGAGGGCATGGCTGGGGGACAAGTGTGCTGGTGCAGTGGGATAGCGCCATGCAGTGGATTTCGGCTCAAGGGATCCATTGGCTGCGTGCGCTCAACACACTGGACTGAAAAGGGGCAGGGGGCAGGGGTCTGGAGAGCGCTGGAGAAGGAGAACTCAGCTGTTTCCAATACTCTGTCCTTCAGGTCACTGCACCTTGAATATGTGCTGGCAATGGTTGCAATAGTTGAAGTAACGATTATTAAGAAAAAAAAAAAGTTGCCGATGAGTTGATTCCAACTCATGGCGGCGCCATGCGTGTCAGAGTAGAACTAGGCTCCATACGGTTTTCAATGGCTGATTTTTCAGAAGCAGATCACCAGGACTTTCTTCCCTAGTTGCCTCTGGGTGGACTCCAACCTCCAACAGTTAGCAGCCTAGTGCTTAACTGTTTGCACCAGCCACCATGTCTTAGAAGCACTACTTAACTCCTTTTACAGTAGCCGGGTGATGCAAAAGGTTAATGCACTGGGATGCTAACAGAAAGGTTGGAAGTCGAGTCTACCCAGAGGAGCCTTGGAAGAAAGCCCTGGTGATCTACTTGTGAAAAATCAGCCATTGAAAACCCTGTGGAGCACAGTTCTACTCTGACACACACGAGGTTGCCATAAGTCAAAAGCAACCCAACAGCAACTGGTTTGGTTTTTTGGTTCTTAACTTCTTCTGCATTTCCCTCCCATTTTGAAGGGAAGACTCTTCGCTGGGAGCCTGGCGGTCAGGCCCACAAGAAGCAGGGCGGAGAGTACTGGGAGGTGGAGTGAAGGCAAAGGCACTCACCGTCCTTGGCCACGTCCCCGATGGGCACACTGTGCTTCTGCGCCATGTACCCCAGGAAGGAGAAGATGACAAAGCCAGAGAAGAAGCTCGTCAGGGAGTTGACCGAGGTGGTGATGATTGCGTCTCTGAAAAACGAAACAGGCCATCCTGGGCAGAGAACGGGGCTAGGAAGCATCTGCCATTTCCAAGTCATTATTGTTAATTGGCTGTGTCTGCAGTGGGGTGACCTGGCTGGGGAGCTGGGTTACCAGGAGAAGCACGAACGGCCCTGCAATTTAGGGAGCAGCGTCTTGAGGTCTCTAGCGCAGCGGCAGAGCTTGTCCTCTGCAGAGCCTGTCCCCTCTGCACAGACTGTCCCGTCTGCAGGGTCTGCCCCCTCTGCACAGCCTGTCCTCACTGCAGGGCCTGTCCTCACTGCACGGCCTGTCCTCACTGCACGGCCTCTCCTTGCTGCTCCGTGGGATGCATTCCCCTCACAGTGACAGGGCCCCTCCCACCTTGGCCTCCTGGCCAAGCTGCTGTAGGCTCCTACGCATTGGTGTCCACCCATGAGCAATGAACCTCCAACCCTATCACCAGGGGGGCCTGAGGGTGACCAGGTGTCCTGGTTTGCCAGCCATGCCAGAGGTTCCCACACACACCAAAGGTGCCAGCCATGCTCCTTGGGCCTACTCACACTCCACGGGCCCCACCTATACTCCACAGCCCCACCCACCCACACTCCACAGCCCCACCCATGCTCCATGGGCCTACTCACACTCTACAGGCCCCACCTATACTCCACAGCCCCACCCACCTACACTCCATGGGACCCACCCATACTCCACAGCCCCACCCACACTCCATGGGCCCTACCCACACTCCACAGCCCCAACCACCCACACTCCATGGGCCCCACCCACACTCCACATCCCCACCTACACTCCATGGGCCCCACCCACACTCCACAGCCCCACCTACACTCCATGGGCTCCACTCACACTCCACAGCCCCACCCACACTCCACAGCCCCACC